CGATTGCTTGCGAAAAAGCCAGTCTCTGCGCTTCTCGAGAACCACACCAACTTCTCAATTTGTGTGCGCACATAACGAGAGTGATGCTTGCTTCACTGCAAAGCAAATGCAATTCGGTCGAGCGGCCGCACTCTAGCAGACGACGCGGTGAAGGCCCCGCCTACAGCTGTCATTGCGCTTGCGCACTAGTTTCCAAAGCGCCCAGCAGAGGCGCTCCGCGGTGCACCGGCCGCACGGCGGGGGGTTCAGGGTAGAAGTGGACGGCTCTGTACAGGCATCAGTCATTCATGATAAACAGTATACGAAAAGAGAAGATTTTATCTTGTTGCTGTATGCGTTTGAGATTTTTTTTCCTCATTTTTTTTAAAGCACAAAACCAACAGCTCATGAGGCCATTGAGGTTACCTGCTGCACTGAATTATACAAGTTGGCATTATCGTTCTTTTGAATTGCAATACGTGAAGCGTTTTGTTAATTCTATAGATGATTTGGAAACTGATTGGAATGACGAGTTGCTGCTCCTAGAAAGTAGTCGAGAAATTAATAAAAATTAGTTGTTTGCTTCTGCATTAGTTTCATAACTTCATCATCATCATCAGCCTGACTACGTCCACTGCAGGACAAAGGCCTCTCCCATGTTCTGCCAGTTAACCCGGTCCTCTGCTTGCTGTTGCCAATTTATACCCGCAAACTTCTTAATCTCATCTGCCCACCTAACCTTCTGTCTTCCCCTAACCCGCTTCCCTTCTCTGGGAATCCAGTTAGTTACCCTTAATGACCAGCGGTTATCCTGTCTACGCACTACATGCCCGGCCCATGTCCATTTCCTCTTTTTTATTTCAACTATGATATCCTTAACCCCCGTTTGTCCCCAAATCCACTCTGCTCTCTTCTTGTCTCTTAAGGTTACACCTACCATTTTTCTTTTCATTGCTCGCTGCGTCGTCCTCAATTTAAGCTGAACCCTCCTTGTAAATCTACAGGTTTCTGCTCCGTAGCTAAGTACCGGCAAGGTACAGCTGTTATATACCTTCCTCTTGAGCGATAGTGGCAATCTACCTGTCATAATTTGAGAGTGCTTGCCGAATGTGCTCCACCCCATTCTTATTCTTCTAGTTACTTCAATCTCGTGGTTAGGCTCTGCGGTTATTACCTGCCCTAAGTAGACATAGTCTTTTACAACTTCAAGTGCACTATTACCTATCTCGAAGCGCTGCTCCTTTCCGAGGTTGTTGTACATTACTTTCGTTTTCTGCAGATTAATTTTAAGACCCTCACCAGCAGCTTTGCAAAAAGGCAAAGCTGCTGGTGAGGATCAGGCAACATCAGATCTGCTGAAAGATGGAGGACAGATTGTGTTAGAAAAACTAGCCACCCTGTTTGCGAGGTGTCTCCTGACGGGAAGAGTACCAGACTCTTGGAAGAACGCTAACATCATCTTAATACATAAGAACAAGGACTTGAAGAATTACAGGCTGATTAGCTTGCTCTCTGTAGTATACAAGCTATTTAAAAAGGTAATTGCTAACAGAGTAAAGAAAACATTAGAATTCAATCAACCAAAGGAACAAGCAGGATTTCGAACAGGCTACTCAACAATTGACCACATTCATACTATCAATCAGGTAATAGAGAAATGCTCAGAGTATAACCAACCACTATACATAGCCTTCATAGATTACGAGAAGGCGTTTGATTCAGTAGAAATATCAGCCGTCATGCAGACACTGCGGAATCGGGGCGTAGATGAAGTATATATAAACGTTCTGGAAGAAATCTACAGGGGATCAACTGCTATCTTAGTGCTTCATAAAGAAAGCAACAGAATACCAATCAAGAAGGGTGTAAGGCAGGGGGACACAATCTCCCCTATGCTATTTACCGCATGCTTACAGGAGGTTTTCAGAAGCCTAGAATGGGAACAGTTAGGGATAAGAGTCAATGGAGAAATAGAACTAGTTCGTTTCACTACATCAATGCATCCCCTGCTGCCCTTTGCACACTTCTTATTTTTGTTTTTCATTATTTTTGATCGATCATTTTTTTTGTTTTTTCTTTTTAAATCAGTGGCCACGTTGAAAACTTGCTTGATGTGCACACTGCAGGGAAAGGAGACATTGTAATGTACAAGGACCTTGTGGATAAGACTGTACTAAGTGTAATTCGTTAATTGTGTTACATAACTCAAAAGTGTTGCAGCACATTTCGCACGAGCCCTGGCTTTTTTTTTTTTTTTTTTTTTTTGAGGCACGGTGCTGTGAGAAAGACTACATAAGTTTAGAAAATTTGCCAGTGGCAAATGGTACAATTGAAGTATATTGGCGACTTGCTGTTCATCCCTCGCGAAGATCTGGTACTGGTAGTAACTCTGTGTTTTTGTCCCGATTTTCGGAGATAACAGTGACAGACACTAATGGCTGTGGATGACATGGCCACTAACAATAATTGTTGGAATGAGCCCATGACAGCTTACAGGGATGCAAAGGCTGAGCCGATTGTGCCAATTTGATACAATTCCTGATTGTTGTGCCAAGCTGTGCCAAAACCATGAAATTAGCTGAAATTGCGCCGCACTGTGCCAAAACGTTAAACCAGCATCGTTAATCGAAGCATGCATCGTTAATCGAAGTCTGCATCGTTAATCGAAGCATGCAGATGCTAATCCTAAACTATGGTGTAAGATGTATACTCATTAGGTGAGGACATTAGCGACATGCGATCGACCAGATAAAGTAACAACGTTGTGCGCTTATCGGTCCACTGACTGCAGTGAATATGTATCGATGGAACGACGGAACTTCAAGACAAAAATGCGTTGCTGTAGCCACCAACGATTGGCAGGAAATATAAATTTCCTAGCCTAAAAATACGGTTGTGGCATGTTAGGAACTAAAGTTTGAAGCATATGCCGCGTTTTCCTCGTGCTGCGAATGCCGTGCTGCGAATGCCGGTGCTGCCAGCAACCACGTTGGTTGCCTTAGCAGCGGCTCATAAAACTTTTTTTGTGTGCGTGTTGAAGTTGCGCCATGCCAGCTGCGGTCCTGAATATATATATATATATATATATATATATATATATATATATCCGGTGGCGTCACCGGGCCGACGGGTGTGCGCCATTGTTTCTTCATCTGGTCGAACGTGCCTTGCAAGCTGCCGAAGGGGCAGCTAACCTGATTGTGAAAGAAAAAAAAGAGGGGGGGGGGGACGCAGCGGTTCGAAAGTGTATGGGCTTTGGTTCTAACCGGTGCAGAGAATGCTGCTTAAGCCACCTTCGCTGCAGTACAGTAGTTGCCCTGCGGAAAAGCATGTAAAGATTTCGAAGGAGCTGTTAGCGCATGTCACGGGATGGAGCACCTTTGGTTAAATTACTCATGCTTGTGTATGCCGCATGATTCTGAGTACCAGTAATATCACCGACATCTAAATAAGCTACTGGCAATCATTTGGAGCAGTGTGTGACATTTATTTTTTCCTAAAAAAAAAACAGAATTGTGCACCCTTTTTTTTTTTTTGCCACCCGAATGTTCATAATTTTAAGGTCGCAAACTTAGCAAATCCACATTTAAGTTCGCAGAGTCTGTCGAAGAATTTTCTAATAATATTGTGGTCTTTATCGTTTGCACCTTGGGGTGGTTCACAATAACGCTTTTAGTCAAATAACAGTGCTGATGTTCATGGTGCATGATGTCGGTGATGTTGAATGGTTTATACATATTTTTTTTCTGAATTTAAGCCTCTTTATTTATACTGCTCCAAATTTGGTATTTTATCATAAAAATATGCAGGGTTTCTTCCCGTAAGCTGTTGCAAATTGAGATTTTAGTGGTCAAAAAGTAACATTTTGCTGCTCTAAAAATTGCTCCAAATTGTATTTCGGCTGTTTCATCCGGGCAGCTTACCCTTAAAAAGAAGTGGTATGAAGGTTGGTAAGTAGGGGCAGCAGAGGAAGGGACAAGATGTCATAGTTTGTTGACTAGGAGGAAGGAATGAATGCAAGCAATAAATTTTAATGTTACATTAACTAAGTCGAATGCCTCGCTTTTTTAGGGCCTGATTTTGGGTAACTCTATGTTGGCGTAAGGAAACACATGTCAGTTGCTCCAGTCAGTTACCTTTGTGTTGGCTATCGCTTCTATGCAGTGATGGGGGCACAGCACGTATTCAAGTATGAGTTATGTTCTGATCTCTTAAGTAGTGAGTGTCATTTTATTGGGGTTTTCTGTTCCTCGTGGAACAATGCAGCTTCATCCAGCACATCTGTCTAAGCTCCTTTCGTGTGGCGGAGGCTGCTGCTGCATTTCATCATTGCATGAGCAGCGCATATTGGTAGCTTTTTCAAGCTTTCACTTATACACACAATGTCCAATGTGCAGCCTCTTTCAACTTTATGTGCAACATTATAGCATAGGTGATGGCGAAAATGGGCTTTTAACCTTCATTGCTCTTGCAATCGAATTATATGGTATTGATCACGTTTGAAGAGGTATGTTGCGAAGGAAAGCGGTTGCTGCAGTGACAGTATCCAATTTGAACGCTTATGTCAAGTGACATTCTTTGTTCCGCAACTTCACCTTAGCTTATTTACTTTTGTTTGCGTGAAAAAACCTAAATAAACCACAAAGGTCCATGATAATATTTGATGAACAAATTTTTTTTACATCAAATATTTGGCAAAATCATCTGTTTTAAAATTTAGTTTTGATAGACAAAAAGATTTCGTGCCTACTGCTTGTTTATGGTTGAATTTTTGTTAAGGGAAGTTGTTATTTTTTTGGCAATCAGTGTTTCTCATACGTGCATGTTGAGAATGTTTGTAATAGTGGTTTGTGATTTTTAGCTCATATTCAAAGTTGGTATGGTCATTAAGATATTTATGAAGCAGAAGGTAAAAAAAATGACTTATGGCTAGTGACCGTTTTCTGCCTGTTGTGTCTAAATTTATCACTCTATGCTACTATCTTCTTTAAATGTATGTGCAATTATTTCACCTTATTCAGGGACAAGCAGTACCTGTTCTTTTTTGACATCACTCAATGCCTGAAAAGGGCCTACAAGCCAGGTGACCTGTTGCCTTCGCTCATCTGCAACACACCACAGGTGGGCTTTCACTCACTGAAGCTGTAGTCCTTCTCTTGCGAGAACATTGCATCTCATGCAGGGCATATGGCTGCAGTGTGAGAATTAAGGTGCGCAAGTGATGAGAAATTGTCAAACAGGGAATGTGAGGCTGTTTCATTCGAGAACCGATTGAAAGTGGAGCTTTGCAAGATGGGAAGAGTAGATGTGTCAAACTAGCACACGCTAATATTTGCAACTAGTAATAGAGCACTGTTTTATTCCTGACTCAATCAAATCACGGAAGTGCTGATTTGGGGCACATTGAAAACATTGAAAACAGACATTTGCTTGCTAGATTGTGATTCATTCGGCACTGTGTTTTTGATCAGGGGGATCAGGGGTTGGGGAAGACCATGGGTAAAAATCACGTGCATGTCCATCATTCTCTCAGAAAATGCATTTTCCAGGAATGAAACAGTGCCTAGTACGCCTGCTTAGCTGTTCACTTTGGAAAGAGTAGCTACTCTACTCGTAGCAGACTGTGCACTTGTCACATGCTTGTAATGGCCACTCCTCTCATTTATGAATGTTACTCGTCCAACCTTTGTGGCCTGCATCAAAGGATAAATTTTCCTAGATGGAAGTATGTTCAGCTTGTACCATGAATTAGTAGTGATAGCTAGTGAGCCTGAACAAGGTCCCTTGTCCTCTGCTTCAAGTATGAAAGACTTATAGCTTCTATTGTCAGTAACCTTCATTAGAGCTTGAGCCAAAAAGCCAGTGCTACTATCCAGGTACCCAAACGAGACCATTCGGGCATCATTGTGAGAATGAAATGAGGCATCCAAGCAACCAGCTGAAAGTAATAAATATGCGGTCCTTGGTAGTCAACCCTTTGTACCGGACTGCATTGCATAGAATGGCAGAGTGCAGAACTAGTGGGTAGGTATTCATGTTTCAGAGATAGGGCGTGCAAACACGGGCGCAAGAGAGACATCAAACCACCACATTTGTCGTATACTGACAACTGCAAAAGGTGCACAGCAGTGGAAAGAAAGCTGCAAACTGACAACTGACAAGCTGCGAAAGGTGCACAGCAGTGGATGACCAAGCGAGAGGCGAGCTTATCGATCTGGCACTCGGGGTCTACGTGATAGATATATATTCCAACACTTGATTTCTTCTTTGTGCAAGTTAATGGATGGTTGGGCTCACACATGCGCTTCCACTATTATCAATATACGAGGCCTCAACCATTAAACCATTTCTTCAAGTCTGTGCCAGTACAAAACCGCGTATTTGTTGAATTCGGCTGTTACTCTCTCAATAATGTAAACATGTCAAGAGTGTAATACCTTGCAAAATTTTTTAAACTTGTTTTTTTGATTGCAACTGCGCATACGTCAGCGACACAGAGGTAGCATAAGACATTGAGGCATAAGACACTGAGGCAGACAGCATAAAACATTGAGGCAGCATAAGAACGATGCTGACAAGAAACAGTTTCACATACCCTTACCCAGCACATGGAGGCAAGGGACCACTATATTGATTTATCAAACTCAAGAATTTTTGGTCAAGGAATGACCTTGAAATTGTGGCTTATCTGCAATTGTTGGCGACACATAAAATGGGTCACATGCTGAACCAGTGTGAGGGAACCAGTGTGCCTCAATTTTAGCCTTCTACTACCTAAACTATGGAAGATTGACGTAATCATTTCTTGTTGCAGTTCAACTTTGGAATGAATTACACTTCACTTGGAATGGTCGTTTACTTTGCATGTATTCATATGTGAATTCATACATTTTTGTTCACATAAATTGTTCAGCCGTTTGTGTGTTTACTGTTTATTTATGCTTTCGGTATTTTGGGCTATTTTCGTTTGGTAAAGGATTTCTCTGTATAGAGTTGTATGTCTTTTTACATTATACAGGGTGTGCCAGCTATCGCACAGCTCGTTTTAAATGAGGAAGGAGTTATGCGAAACAGACCTAGCACAAGTACACTCGAATAGCCACAAATTTTTCTAACGAGGTTAAATAATTAGTCATAATATATTTGCAAATTGATCAGTACTTAATTATTGAAATGTAAATGACACATATGTAGGCATGTTTAACTGGCATCATATTGCTTAATCTTGAACAGCACAGTAATTTTGGGCTAATTTTTATGAGTTGATAAGGAAATTCTGCTAAATGGGAAAAACTACACGTCACCAGAAACAGTGCCCTTAAAGCGGCCTTGAAACACTTTTTCAAGTAACCATGCAATCAATTTACTGGAAGAGCTTGTTGCCTCACAAACTCAATGCTGCAAAAATTTTAATAATTCGTGCAGTGCGAGTGGAGTTACAAAGATTTGTTGCATGCTTCAATTGCATCCTCTCTTCTCTCGTCCCAACGAAAGTGCTGAAAGCTAAGCAGGGAGGGATGGCAGGGGCAAATAAAAATGTCACACGCACCTCATGACCTTGAACACTTTTTTCTTTTTTTTTCTTCAAATGCGCGGCTTTTTGAGTGTAATCGCGAGCGTGGACAAGTTGCGACCTCTCGCAGCGATCTTTGTAACGACCCAGTCCGCCGTGTTCAAATAAGCCAATGGCTGATAGATGGGGTTTTTACGAGTGATTTTTGTGCGTCTTCCATCATTTGTCGAGAGAAGTCAATTTTTAGCTGACATTCTATAATTTATTGTGAATTCCAGGCCGCATACTGCGCTATAATATTTGGCTCGCGTGTTCTCGGGAGTCTCTACTACCGATCCGCAGCGTTCTCTATGCTCAAAAAGTGTTGCAGGGCCTCTTTAAACAGGCTCGAGGTGAGGTAGCTAGTATCAAGAAAAAAATGCAAAAATAAAAACCATATGAGTAGTCCAATTGGCCATTGCCCAGCTAAAAAAACTTGACAAGATCAGTCTGCATGGCTTAAGGTTGTTTGTAAGCTTGCTTCTGAGGTTTAGATATTGCCCGGTCATGGTTGCAACATAAAAAGAAGGTGCGGCCTGTTGCGTGCCGCCAAAGCGGCATCTTGGGCCTAGCTCGCCTTGCACCCGCTCTGGTTCCACTGCTCGTCTGCGGAGAAGAGCTTTCTAACAGGCATTGGTACGAGCGACAGGGCTGTAACCAGGCTGCAAACAGCAAGTCTTGTAGTTGCACATTACAGATTCACTACTGAAGTCATTGTTAGAAGTGCCTATTACCCCACATATGGTAACAGTTTGCCCTAGGAGATGGCAGAGGCCTATGCACTGTGCGATGCCGGTGCATAGAACACCAGGTGGTCAAAATTTCTAGAGCCCTCCACCATGGGGTCTCTCATAATCATATTGTGGTTTTGGGACGTAAAGCCCCAGATATTGTATATATTCACATCTAAGCTGATGTTTTTTTTTAGAAAAAAAGATGTGCAAAAGTGGGGGGGGTCGGCTTATATTCGAGTACCACGATTTGGCCCCTGCTGCCACCTGCCTGAAGGCCCGGCCGCGCTAGCGGCGTTACGGCCATTGATGCACCGATCTCAAGGTACCGGTTTTGCATGCCGGAGGCCCATTCTCATGACATTCTATGGTAGCTGTGCGGTGATGAGGCCGCTCAGGCCTGTTCAGCAAGAGAATAGTGGCCTCTATCGCTTTTGTACGGTCCATTGTCCCGAAATCACGCAGTCCCACGTACTGTAGCGAGGGAGCGAGAGTCGTCGAGCCTGCGAGATTTAAGGTTGGAAAAGCCATGGAAAAACGGGAAGACGTGGATCGTGTCACGTGATTACTGTCAATGGATGGATGCGTTGACATGGCTGTACCTTTTAGATCAAGCGCTGGCTAACGCCACCTAGCTGTAATACTTAGTGAACAAAAACGAAATGTTTTTCTCTCTGGTGCTCAGAATGCGTGCTCTGTGTTGAAATAAAATAGAATTACCTAATTTGCTTACTGGTGTTTAAAATTAAACGAATTCCCAGCCAAGCCCGGTTTCCAAAAAAGAAAAAGAAACGTAAAATTCAACCCGGCTGTTGCCTATCTGCTATCGCGTGGCGGACAGCGCAAAGTTGGTCAATGGTCATTCTTCTGAAAGCGATCGTGAAGTGTAGTTGTGCCTCTTGCTCGCAAAATGCCTGCGTCAATCGTGCTTCAGATTTGATGGCACCAACCAAGCGGTGCCACTACAGTGCGGCGTTTTAAGTGGAAGGTCGTGTTACATGTGGAAAAGACATCGAGTCTACGAGTGCAGCAAGAGTTCGGCTTGCACGGAAAGAATGTGCAACAATGGTGAAAACAATGTGCGGAACTGTTCGGTTGTGCAGCAACCCACATGGCATTCACTGGACCGAAAACCGGCCGACACCATGCGGTGGAAGAAGTTGTCGCCGGTTTTGTTCGAGAACAGAGAGAAGTGGGAATACCCGTGACGACTGAAATTATTCAGGCGAAGGCCAGAGAAGTCCCCATCACGAAGGGTGTCTCACGAGCCTGTTTTAAAAAGCCAGCAGATGCTGGACATCACGCTTCATGAAACGGTTGGGATTCAGCCTGCAACGACGGACCTCCGTGTGTCAAAAGCTCGGCCTACATTCAAGGAAAGTTTTTTTTTCTGCCCTTGCCAATTTCAGGGGTCGGTCTTGATTCTAGTATATACGGTATTATAATTGGTATGCCCTAGGAGTGCCAATTTTTCATAGAGTAGGCCTCAACACTCTCCATCAATGCTGCCAGTTTGACTCACCTGAAATGAAAAGTGTGACAGATAATGTTAACTGGCAAGCACTCATCGGGTAGATTCAAAGAACTGACGTTCAAGCACTCATCGGGCAGATTCCAAGAGCTGACGTATCGGCCCACTGAAATGCACCTCGAAAGTACAAACATCATAAGTGTAGGTTGTGGTGCAAAGACAGTCAGAACCTAGAGTCAGCATAAACAAAATGTATTCTCAGTTAAGGCAGTGCAAGCATCATACAAACTTGCACACTTGGCAGGTATTAATACTACTCGCAATATCACATAGATGATTAAAACAACGGGAACAACTTTGCCGCGTTAGAATTACAATCTCGTGCATTACAAACTACACTCAAATCTTAATATATTAAACACTGACATAATGAATTATCAGTTATAACGAAGTCAATGAAAAATATTCTTGCAATAGATAGTGTTACGAATAAACTCTTATTATAAAGAATTTTTGGATACAATGAAGTAACTTTTGTATAAGGTGTGACATTGTTATAATGAGGTTTGAGTGTATTCAAGAACACTTAAAGGCCTTGGATGTTCACCAGATGTGTCCAGTTCACAATTTTTCCAATGTGCCTCGAATATTTCTCTTCCAAGAAACACTCAAACAAATTTCAGTGCTGATCGTCTGTCTGTTGCATACCACATCGACGACACTCTCTAAGGAGTGCTCCCACAACGTCAACACTCGATTCTTCAAGATCGACTGACCACAATACAGTTACACAACTCACTCGAACAATTGCCCTATTTACTCGCATAATAGGCGCTCTTCTTTTTTTAGAAAATCTGGCTCGAAGTTAGGGGTGCGCCAATTACGCAGGGTAAAATTTTCAAAAATTTTTCGACTCTGTTTTTGCGCTTTAAATCTGCACATTTGTCAAGTAAAAGGTAACTTTATTGGGCGACTTTATTGTTTATCAATTAGTTCAGCATAAAAGAAGCATACCTACATACTTTTTAATGAACAAGCGAGCGCTGTAAACTGCACACACTCACGCAAAATTTATTTACACAAAAGTCGTAGGTGTTCCTCCTGTTCTCTATTTGGAGTCCGAGTTAAGGGCACACATTCATCCTCGCTGAGCGAGGATTCGTTTTCGGTGTCCAAATCAACCACACCGCCCAGCATGTAGTCCTTACTCTCATCTAGTGCGTTCGAGATACCCGTCTTCTTGAAGCTTTTCCTGACGACTTCGTCGGAGATCGCCTGCCACACTTTCATGATCCAAGCACACAACATTTCCACAGGCGGTCTTTTAACTTACCGCCTGGAGTCAGCTGATGTTATCCTCCAGCCATTTAGGTGGTGTGCAGCCTTTGAACATTGCCCCTAAAAGGCTTATTCAAGGACACGTCCAAAGACTGCAATATCGATGTGAGGCCGCCCGGAATCACTGCCAGATCTGTGCACAGCTCCTTTAGCTCAGCTCTTATGTGGTTTATGAGGTGCCCCACGAAAACTGTTCAGGACAAGCATGGACGGGAGCAATGGACCACACGGCCGCCGACCCCAGACTGTTTTCACCCAGTCTCCCATGAGTTCATCCGCCTTTTCCATCCGCACTCATCCAGCCTTTTTCCTGGACTCTGACGTAGATGCCTTGCGAGAAATTTGCCTTTGAGAGCGTCTTACATTTAAAGAATAACGTAAGGCTGTAGCTTGCGCCCTTCCGCTGTCACCGCCAGCATTACGGTGAATAGTTGTTTATCAGCGCCAGACGTTCTGACGATGACGCACGGTGCACCTTTCTCCTCCACTGTCATGTTCCGCGGCATATCAAAGCAAAGGGGGCTATGATCAGCATTGCCGATCTGGGACAAAATGAAGTCTTTTTGCTGTCGGAGCTTTTTAACGAAACGGTGGAAGTCCACTACTTTGTCTTCATATGCTGCGGACAAGTGCTGACACAAGCTGGTCTGCCTTCGCAGTGCAAGGCCATGGCGCCGCATGAAACGAGTTGTCCATCCGGAGCTGGCTTTGAACTCTTTTGCTTTGATGCGCTGCTCTCAGCTATTCTGCGCGCCTCAGGCTGCAGAATATCGAATGACACAGCACAGCAGTCTTGTCATAGTTCCTGTTTATGCTGAACCACTTGCTCTTCGACGTTTGGATACCTGCCAATCTTGGCACCGCAAAAAGCTCGTCATGTCTTTTTCGTCGCCTCAAGTTTTTCTTCTTGATCTCTTTAGTACCGAATACTGGTTTCTCCAACACGGAAATGCCTGCTTCCAGCCGGGTTGCCGTGCTCCATCGTGTACTGCACTGCCTTCGGTGTAAATCCAGCCGTGTAGCTTGCGTACTTCCCATGGTGGAACCAAAGTTAAATACACGACCACAACATACGCACACCGCTTGCAAAATGGCGTTTCTTTCTTTTTCTCTGATGGTGGTGATGGCGATCAAGCCCCTGGCGTTGTACACGTGACCTCCAAGGAGCTTGGCGATTTGGGGGGGGGGTATCAGTAATTGATGGAACAGCCATTTTTTTGCTTGTGGGCACTTTTCTTTTTTCAAGTTTTATTCTGACAAACATGTTTGTTAGGTCGTTGCACTTAGAATTTTTCTATTTGCTCGTCGATTTGCCTTCTTTTTTTCTTCAGGGTACGGAGACAGCATTCCAACTGTACCGCTGGGGATAGAATCGTTTATGATCACTGCCAAGTTCGCGGTGTGCCTATTATGCACGGAATTAAAAAAATCGAATTTCATGCAAACAAACTAGAGGTGCGCCTATTATGCGAGTAAATATGGTAACTTCCTCGACAATACTGCATCAAAGTACTGCAAGTTCGAGTAACAGAACTTGCCTTGGTGATGGTTGCTCAAGGACAGCAATGTTCAATGCTTAGAGTTTAACTTCTTCTTTAGTATGCCTCACATGCTTGATGGTAATTTGTAAAGCGTGCTTTTGAATGTTGATTATCCTAATTTTTATTTATTTGGATTAAGTGCTAAATTGTTGTTGATAAATCTTTGACAAGTGGCATGCCTGTAGTAATAACATGCATTGTGTAAGCTCAATAGAAAATTCTTTGAAATAAATTCTAAAGGTGTTTCACCCATACTATTTTACATGTCATTCATAATATTTTTGTTTCTTGACAGGTGTGCGTGTCACATTGTCCCAACGAGACTTTCTGGGTTGACAATGCCGGGAATGACAAAGAAGACCTCATTCGTTCAAAGCTAATATGCCAGTATGACGTGGACCCATTGGATAAGAAAGTATGTTGGTGTGCTGAAAATTCGCTTAGGGGTATGGGTGCAAAAATATTAAAAATATTCAATGTGGAATTCAGGAGACTTTTGTTGACAATACCTTTCATAATTTGATTTAATTATATATTTAATTCAATATATTTTTTAAATGAAGAAGTTATTTGGTTTGAATAAATTAGACTGCCTAATTTGGTCCGAGCCTTGAATCGGCACCTGCTGTACATTTCTGTTGTACAAAACTTTTGTTATTCACTCCTAGAATTCGCTTCTGACTTGGCTGGAAAAGTATGGCCACTGTGCATGTTTCTGTATCCTTAAGAGTGTGGCAGCGGCACTTCTGATCGCGCTCAAGTGCGGCGGGAGAGTTGTGTGACTGAGCAGAAAGATTGCATACGAGCTGGTTGGCCAACAGTTATGCAAATGTTGACTCGGGTTTTGGCAGTTGTGGTTCTGGCAAAATAGAATTGTGTAGTGGTGCAGTGTAGATTACTGGGCTCCCCCAGTAACACACGGGCCAACCCTTGATAATGGCAGAATAGCAATACTTATGCAATGCCTGGAAGAATCTTTCTCTTTTCATTCAAATGGTGGTGTAATGTCATATGCGAACATTTATGTGCAGGTCCCATAACAATGCTGCATGTGATGGTTGCCAGAAGTTTCACTGCCATACTAATTAGGATAGGGTACAGAAACGTGTACTAGTATCCTGTGTTACCCCTAGAATGAGGGAACAGCATCCCAGGGTTCTCTGGAAAGAGAGTGGCACAGTGACTCGCAGAGCAGATACTATTTAAAATTGGGTAGAGAAACGTGTACCAGTATTCTGTGTTACCCCCAGAATGAGGGAACAGCATCCCAGGGTTCTCTGGAAAGAGTGACACAGTGACTCGCAGAGCAGGGGTAATGCTTGCTTGTTGCTATGGCCAAAAGATTGATCTTCTAAAAAAAAAAAATACCGGGAGTTTTTTAGGAACCAACGATCGAAAGCGTATCGTGGCACTCTTTTGATTCTTGCACTGCTATATTGTATAATCAATTTCTACAGTACTTTTGCCATATATGTACTATCAGCATCAAATGAAACCTGAACAGCGGCAAGCCTTCCGCATAGTATGGTGCACACCGTCCTGTTATCACTATTGACAGGCGCTGGCATCCTGTTCGGCAACTGTGCGCATACACTCAACCCGTCATTGCATGAAAATAAGTTTGTTATACTCAGCAATTTGTTATAAAGGTATAGTCTCAACATTTTGTATATTGCAAGACTATTCTCCATTTATTTCATTATAACCGATATTTCTTTATATCTGGGTTCGTTATATCAAGGTTTGAGTGTATATGCACGCCTGTCTATGGTGATAAGTGGACGATGTGCATTATAACATCACAAAAGCTTGCTGCTGTTTGGGTTTCATTTGACGCTGGTGGTACACCAACAGGAAGAAAGTGTCTACTCAAGTCTCCGTACGTTCAGAACACCCCGGGCAACATTAAATGCACGTTAGGAACGACGCTCACTATATACATACACACCCATTCATGTAACTTGTCCTACTGCGAGTTAAAGCAAAATCAAACATGACACCGATGTCTCGAGCATAACCGTCGACAATGTTAGAGAGTCCCTACAGGGCATATTCGAAAAAAATGTCTCTGGAGAAAACAGTATAACTGATTTGATTTTAGATGGAGTAATTTTTGTATTCAAGAATGTTGTATTACTTTACACATTTTGTCTCAAAAGTTCAAATGTTTTTGGAAGAACATTGAGTTGAAAGACAGCAGTATTTTGCTGCTACATAAAAATATAGATGTAAAAGACTTGAAGAACCACAGATCAATCATGCTACTTTTAAACGTTATTCCGCTAAATACAAAAAAACTAATGTGTATGGCGTTCATTGAATACAAAAAGGCACTCAGCTGTGATAAGATGACTGCATTTTTGGAGGCATTGGACCATCAAAGAGTACTTGAAACATATGTGAATAGTGTCACTGACATGGTGTAGCTAGTACGCACAGCACAGCGGTGCGAAAACATGGGAGTACAGCTTGCCCCATACCGAGGGATACGAAGGGCAGCTAAGAACTGCAGTTTAGTTGATGACAGCGCTTGGCAGGCACGAAGTGAAAGGCAGGAGAGGCTTGATTCAATACTTTTGACGGCTTATGGGACCTCCTTGCTCAGCTCCTTTGATTATTCTGCTTCTTTGCTGTAGCCTGGGTGTATAGTTGTGGCTATTAACTGACAGTTAAAATTGTCAATTCATATTTCAGTTGAAATCTTGTCAACGATACAGTTCATAGGGGACATATCTAGGTGAAGGTCTCAGTCAAAATGCAGTGGTTGTTTTGATATTAGGAAACTACTTATTACTCCCGTATGCACTGATTCCAGTATTTCTTCACAGATAGCTCTTAAGGATTTGACTGGAAACGACCAAAAGTGTGCTTCTTATTATCTCAAGAGCAGTAGTGGTGAGTTCTGCAACCTTGAACCTCTAATATTTTATGCCTCCATTGGTAATTTTTTTTTTATTGAGAAAAACTTGCAAGGTAGGAAATGTGCACTTATTTAGTTCAGCTCAGGCTTTTTTACTCATCATCCCAGCGCCATTGGTGATCAACTGGTTTATGAACTGAGGACTTTAACTTACAGTGGTAGAAGATATTTGTGTTTGACCTCTCAACCTTACAACTGTTTATAGGTTAATATTGATCGAAAAACACGTCTTGCAGGATGAAAAGCTTCTGTGAAACTGCTTAAAAAAGAAAGTGTAGTTCGGCGCTGCCTCAAGAGCATGCGTCAGCTCGTAAGGCGCATCAGTAATAATAATGAATAGTCTTCTGCTATGAGGGATGAAGAAAAGGAAGCCACCACAGTCTTTCGCGCTGACAAATGATGTTAGTTGGCCAGCAACGGTTTCAGTAGCTGTACGGGCCGCTTTATCACAGTGCCGTTAGGCAATAGTAGAGAACAAGTTCTGGCGATCCGTCCCATCCAATGATGAATTCATCCATGCCGACCAAGCTCCACATTTGCCTTTGACGCTCTTCTTTTCAGAGTAGAGCTACAGTTGGTTCTCGTTAAATGGAATGTGAAGGGCAACAAAAATATGTTCTACAGTCGACTCTCGTTAATTCAAACTCGAAGAGACCTGAATTTTGTTTGAATTATCAAGAAGTTCGAATTGCCAGCAGCGTGTAGATAGATAACTCTGGGTGAAGTGACACCACACATTATGCTTAGGCATTGATTTTATCACATTTAAAAACTTTTTAACTGTGTTTTAACCCTAACTGCATGCAATGAACAAAAAGCAGAGGAGTAAGGTCCACAAGTTTATTAGCCATTTACTACTGATCAGACCTTTTAAAGAAATCATGAATTGCCAATTGCTTCTTTGCTATAGGTATGCGACTTCAGCAAAAAGCTCTCTCTACCAGTTGAGAAGCATCACGGTTTACCATGCATGTGCTTCGTTTCGAACATTTGCTTCCTAGCAAAACCTTTTTCCTTGAAGGGCTGAGGCGCTTATTTTTCATTTTTAGACTGTTCGGATTATATAAGCATGCAAATTTTAAGTAGTAGTGGGAAAGCAGCAGATATTTCCTGGTATGAAACTGCAAAAAGCATTAATTAACCGAACATTGGAGTTTGAATTAAGAGGCTTCTAAATACATTGAAAAAACAAAGGGCCAACCAAAAAACTGAATTTTGTTTGGAATAACTGAGCGTAATGAATCATCTGAGTTTGAATTATCGTGAGTCAACTGTATTTACAGTGATAGAAGTGCTGCTCGGATTGCTCCAAACTGCTCCAAAAGAGAAATGCTGCTCCAAACAGTAATCTTTGTTGGTAATTGCTCCAAACCTGCCCCGAAATGACACTAAGAGAATCGTGATGATAAACTTTTACTGTGTGACTGACGCTTAAGCCCTAAAGAAACTGGAAAGAATATGTGTACTATTATTCCAGTGTGCTACTAGTGTGTAGCATTATTGGCTCTTATCTCATTTGTGCAACAAAAACTGGCATATTAAGCATATAGCTCGTTTGGTTGTTTTTATTTTTTCTCAGCTATACATGCAGGCTAGTGTGGTGAAATGTGAAAATGAGCAGGATTGCTTGTATCTCATACTGATTATCTACTGCTTATTTGGCGCAGCAGTAATGTGGGACAGTGGTTATTTCAGAAATGTGGCGCTGAGCTTTCAAGTTTTTGATTTCTGTCATAAATACTAGTATTTTAAATTGTAGCTCACTTCACAACACATTTTATCAACCTGGCATTGTTTGCTACATGAAGTTTACATTGATTGTTGTCTGTTAAATATATTTATTAAGAAGTATTAATATTTATGAGATGCTTCAACAATGCTCTGAACTCCAATAATGTATGTAAAATTTAATATCTGCTTCTAAAACACCAATAGCAGCGCTAAACTAGCATTCTTTTTCAGCTCTGAGAACCCTTATGGCTGCTACAAAGCAGCACATTTCCTGCTCCAAAGTATGTTTCAAAAAGTAAAAAAGGCACTTTCAACACTCTATTTAACAGGAGTTTCGTTTACTGGAAGATGGACAGGGGTGGAGAATACAAGTACCTAATTAATCATATCAGAGACAGTTGTTGCACTCAATCAGCAATTCTGTTTAACAGATTTCCGTTTACTGAGAGTCTACTGTACACTGCCTTTCTTCAATATGATTCCTTTTTGCTTGGTTGGATGTATCATTTGTGAGTTCATTAAGGTGCTCTTTGAATCAACGAAACCAGTAGGTTTGCTTGCAAGTAATGTTTTGTCTGGCTCCAGAACTTCTTTTGATAGTTAGACGACTTGGTGTTGATATTGAGGTCGCAAGGTGGTAGCATTGTCAGTCTCCTTTCGATGAGAAAAATCTGCTGGAGATAGGGGCTATGGTTCTGCCACGCCATTGAACACTGAAGTTAATGGCTTCTACTTCCGTTAGTAGAGTAACGAACTCTGTCTGACTGCAAGACGTCATTCTAGCATATCCTTCGCCCAGGCATATGAAGTGCTCCTTTCGTTTCTGCAACTGGTATTGCGGGCGCTACAACGTAACAGTGAAACATTATGGTGCCCTTCTTCATTTACTACCTCAGTTCTGTGGGTTTAATGAGTCCTTTAGGAACAAAGAATTCGAACAATACCATGCATTTTGTTGCGGCCGTCATCTCCGTGGTCGCCGCAGGGCGTTAACAGCAAGGAGCCAACATTTAAGACCACACCCACTTTATTGTTATATCAAGGTTAGCTAACGTGTTACAAAAGCTCTCACACTCAGTTTATCTGTCTCAAATGAAATATCGACATAGTGGTCTCACAGAATCGCACGACTTTTTTCATATATAAAATTCATCACCATATTATAAAATGCGCCAGCAAAAACACCGAAAAAAAGTGTCTTATACACACCAGAAAATACGGTATTTCGAGTACAGTCACACAATTCATTTGGAGAGAGCAGTTTTTTCAACAGTGTGAACACTATGTCATCATGCATGAAATTATAGCTCTAGTTGGCAATTTATGCTGCAGTTTATGATATTTAATTGTTGACGCCGCACATATTTAAATTTTCACCGTTTTGCATTTAGTTACTTAAATAAAAATGTGGAAGTTGTTTTCGGACATGCCTGGCTACTTTTGGCTACTTTTACTGCCCTTGACCTATGTTGGCTATATTTTGGCTAGTTTCTCCAATTTTCTGGCTACTTTTTGTGTTTTTTACATGGCGACCCCATGCCCCAGAAGCCTTGTGAAGAAAATGAATTCTCGTCTGCAATGCAGTTTGCTTTGCTACCAGAGTGAGATTTTGTTCTACATGAAGCAAATAGCATTCAGCTTGTTTAACGTCTTCAGCTGACAACGCTTCAAACCTGTCACTTTCTTTCTTCTACTTTTTGACCGAACGGAAAACTCATGCCGTTACCCTTAAAAGTTTGGTGAGGCTGCGGAGCACCTCGTAGCCTTGATAGGGCTACACGATAGTGGTGAGATGGAGTACAAGTGAATATGGCAGAAGCGCTTTTGCGTAGGTGCGTCATGGTGTTAGCTTGTTTTGAGACTGTTGTGCCTTGTGTGGCTGAATGTGACCTGGCCATGAGGTATGTTTCATATTTTATCTTTTGGCTGCAATTTCAGTTGCCAGGAGATGTCTTCCTGGGAGGCTGGAGTTTGATTCTGATGGGAAGGTCAAGGATATGATCAACGATGGGAAAATTGTTGAAGCGGTCTCGGCTAGAAAGCTGGCTAAGAAAACCAAGTAAGCTGCTCATATGTTGTTTGACTGACATCTGAATTACTAACAGATCTTGTATGTGAACTGTTTGAAGAAGCACACAAGGTAAACTTTAGCCTCACGGAAGAAGTAATTTTGGGAGCCTAATGTGCTGTAAAATCAGCTGCACCTGTAAAAAAAATTTTTTTAAACAGGGGCTTAATAATATTGAATCTAGGGTTCAATGAAAACCCATTCTGTCAGGAAAAATCATGGCAGCAAATAATCGGTGTTGACCAGTCATTGAAATAAAAAGATGTTTCAGCCGCATTACAGCAGCCATAATGTATTTTCATTTCAATAAATGGTTTGCATCCACTATTCCGGCCAGCAGCTCAATCTCTAAAAACACAAAAGCGATAGAAAAGTGGCTATGTTGATCTAAGGAAAGACACCCTAAATTCTCATCGCTTTTAGGTTCGTAGCGAATGGTAATTTTGGTGAAATAATTGGAATAGCTCATATATTGGATATTATAAAAAGAAAACTAAGTGTATTCATCATGACCGAACTGACCTGCACAATATTCTTTGTTAAATTGAAATCACGCCTGTGCAAATAGTTTTTTTGCTTTAAAAAAGTGGAAACCACTTTCAATAGTAGCAGGATTAGAATAGACAATAGTAGCAGGAGTAGAATACGACTGATAGCTTGTAAAATACATTGCTTTTTAAAATTTTGCATATTTGGAGCATGTAAGTCGGTATGGCAAGCTTTTAAACTTAAAAGAATCGACGTGAGGGTACTGTGCTAATTTAACCTTGAAGTGGGGCTTTGCGGCAGTGCAGATTTCCCCTGGATACATTTTTTCATGGCTCAGCATCACTTCACTGCAGTGAAACCACCTCTGCAGGGAGTTATATGCAGACTAATATACATTTGAGTTGGTGTTTTCACGGCTTAGCACCTCTCTGCCACATTAAAACCAGGTTTACAGGTGGTTACATGCGGTCTAATCTATTTGTTCGTTTTTGATACTTCAAAATTTTACATAATTTTGAAGCAAATTCAAATACTTTATTATTCATTTGAATATTTGAAACACTCCAATATCTGCGCAAGCCTACATAACACTAATTTTTCGCGTTGCTCGGGCGGTACAGGTGTCGCCTTTGCATAAAATTTGCACCTTTTGTTATAGACCACCAGGAGTTGGGGGGTCTTGATGCTTTCTATTGTTTGTCATTTAATAGAGTTTGATCATTTCATTTATTATGGTTTAGCTTGACTATAGCTAGATAACTGTGCTTGTGAGGAGCACTTGGGCACTATGCAAGACATGCATTCTAGATAGAGTATCTTGTTGGCTTGCTTGCTAGGTACGATCAATTAAATGCTCCGCCGCAATGGTCTAGTGGCTAAGGTACTTGGCTGCTGACCCGTAGGTCGCGGGATCGAATCCCGGCTGCGGCGGCTGCATTTTCGATGGAGGGGAAAATGCTGTAGGCCCGTGTGCTCAGATTTGGGTGCACATTAAAGAACCCCAGGTGGTCGAAATTTCTGGAGCCCTCCACTATGCACCTCTCATAATGAAATGGTGGTTTTGGTATGTTAAACCCCACATATCAATATCAATCAACGATCAGCTGGATAAAGTACCGTATAAACGCGTGTAAGGGCCGCACTTTTTTTTCAGGAAGTGAGGGCTAATTTTCAGGTTGCGGCCCCATACACGGAACTTTTTTTTGTGGTGAACTAAAAACAACGTACCAGTTAGTGAACGAAGAGCGTTTATTGCAGTATGCTGCGTGTGCGCTTAATCGTCGTCACTCGACGAGTCCTCTAACTCGGAGTCCGAGATGGTGTGTTGCGGAGCACCATCATTCCACAAACAGTCATCTTCGGTGCCATCCAGGCTGTTGGATATCCCAGTGACCTTAACACTTCGGGACACAATGTCCGTCGACACCGAGCTCCACGCCGACAATACCCGACCGAGAACAGTAGCAAGCGGTGCCCTCTTCAGCCGTCCGGTCGGTGTGTGCTCATGGTTGCCGGTTGCCATCCATTCCGTGTAGAGTCTTCGGAATTCAACTTTGAATGGTCGATTCATGCTCACATCCAATGGTTGCAACATTCCTGTGAGGCCGCCTGGAATCACGGCCATGTCTGTGCCGACACGGCGCAGCTGCTCCTTCACCTTATCGGTAAGGTGGCCGCGGAAACTATCCAATACTAAAAGTGACTGTTTGACCAACAAAGCTCCCGGTCTGTTCTGCCAAACACTTTTCACCCAGTCTAGCACCAAATCATCGTTCATCCATCCCTTCTCTTGGACTCTAACTATAATGCCCTTGAGGAAAACTTCGTTGGGAATTCTTTTCCTTTTCAAAACAACGTACGCGGGTAGCTTCCGCCCGTCCGCGGTCACACAAAGCATCACGGTGCAGCGTTGGCGCTCAGCGCCGGTGGTCCGCACGGCGACACTCTTCTTGCCTTTTACTTCGACTGTGTAGTTCTCGGGAGAGTCAAACCACACAGGAGTTTGATCAGCGTTCGCTATTTGCGACAACAAATAACTGTGCTGATGGCGCAGGCCGATGACATGCTTGTGAAAACTAGGCACCTTGTCGGTATAGTCTTCTGGCAGCCGCTGGCACAGCGTGGTCCTTCGCCGAAAAGAGAGTCCCTTTCTTTTCATAAACCTTCGCACCCAGCCAGCACTAGCCTTGAAATCCCCGGCCGGTATATTTTTCGCACGTGCCAAGGCTAGTGCCTTCATGCGCAGCATGTCTGTAGTGAGCGCAAAACCATCGTTCCGCACCTCAGTCACATAGCGGAGCAACTCCTCTTCCAAATCGGGATACTTGCACTGTTTTCCTCGGAAAGCGCGCTTTTTGATATTGGTGTTCTGCAAGGCTTTCTTCTGGGCGCACCAACATCGAACAAACTTCTCGTCAACGTCGAATTTTCTGCCGGCGGCCTGTTTCCCGTGCTCGAGGGCAAACTCGATCACCTTCAACTTATAGCCAGCTGTATAGCTATTCAGCTGCTTGCCCATCGTGCGAAAACGTAAACGTCCCGCAGAAAACTAGCTGGAGTCCCAGAGTCATTCAACGGTGCGCAAAACTCGAGCACATGGCAGGCTGAACAGCACAATGACCAAACAACGCACAAATACCAAAGTTGGTGATGCTAATGCCGATATGGATAGTGCGTTTGTATAGAAGTGTCAGAAGTGAAATATAAAATCCTGCTTTAACCTTTAGTTGGCGGGTGTATGAACACTACTGAAAAAATCAAAAATTTTTAGCCAACTTCATGAACATATTAGCATGAAGAAAACCAACAAATTATTCTAATGATGTACTATATGGTGATGATGAGAATTGCGTTCCCTAACGCCATCTACTGACAACGCCTAGTAGCTCACACACGCGCGCGCATTTTGAATACGCATGGGTCAAGGAAAGTGCGGATGCGGCCCTTACACACAACTTTTTTTTTTTTTTGAATATGTGCTTCTTAAAAACAGGATGCGGCCCTTACACGGGTGCGGCCCTTACACGCGTGTATACGGTAATAAGTCTGCACTACCGTCAGTCCAGCTCGGTGACTGGGACAAATACCTATCGGTGATAAAATAAAACTTTTTTAGACAGGAAAGGTTTTATCTCCCGTTGCATTGCCCACCAGTGTTTTGTGGGAAATACGAAATATTTGAGCCACGCGGCAAAAATAAACCAGTGGTAGTAGGAGGAAAATGTGTGTCCTTTAATGTGTGTCTGACAACTGGTAAAGAGCATCGAGTTAGACGTGTAACCATCTGTCATTGAATTTGGTTTGTCTGTGAAGCGCTGACTGCTGTATCAATGCGAGATGAAACATTTTCTTTCTTAATGTCTCACTGTATCTTCGATAGAGGCGCTACCGTCATTTGGCGGGCAGGTTTGTGGTGTTGCTGCCTTATTTGTTTGATCTAATCTTGAAGGTCTCCTCACCTGAAGAGTGAATTTTTCACAAACTGTACTATGTGGGTACAGGCAGAGTTCCCAGTTTCTGTGGTTACTGTCATTCAGCTCTCGTCTCAGCTGAACCAAGTGGCACATTTGGCACATGATCAGTTTCAAATATCTGGGGTAAAATATCCTAATAGGCTTTAACTGATCTCAAATGTTGTATAGGTTTTGCAATACCTTATTGCCTACTTCAAGCTGACATTGTTGAGAGCACTTTATTCCTGATACAGCTCAATCTTTTCTAGAGCAATAATTGTCTATGCGGCAGCGTGTGTGCAAGTGTGTTTATGATGCAAAAAGCCTGCTGTTTGAAAAGTGTTTGCACTTGTTTTTCTATGAATTGCTTTTTGAACTTGGCATCTACAGTGTTTAAGGAAGAATCATTTGCTTTTCAGGAACTCTATTGAACTGTAAGTTTTCTATTCGTCATGGGCTTGGACACAATTAATCTGCACAACAAAATCTGCATTTAACTAACCCTGAAATGTCAATGGCCACTTCCTTAGTACATCTCTCTGCCATTTGAGAAGCAAGTACATGAAAGGGCAACTCCAGCAATATTTCTTATAGGACGTTTCCTTGTGTGACCTTTCTACACAAGAAAAACAACAGAAATTGCTAGACTGACCACTGTCTTGCGACAGCATTGCGCGCAAGTTGAGACCAGTGGCACGAATTCCTAAAAAATAACTAAGCTGGACGCACATCTTGCGATGCTGGCAATTATGTTTTTATAAATGTGTTTTGCTTTTAATTACATTAAAAATAAAGCCATGCTTTCGAATAATCGTAAACAGAATTGTGCATGAGCAGGGCGTTTCTAAAGTGTCGTTGCATGGTTAAGGTGTTTTTTATCTTATTATTTCGAAAGACCGCCCTTTGGCATAACAAGCATTACATAAAAACGACACAGGTTCATCACAAATAAATAAACAAGTTGTACTTATGCATGAAGTTTAACAAGGATGGGTAGAGAGGACTGCTTATCCACCCTTGTAAGTCCGGAGGGCGGCCGGGACGGTGACCCGTTGTTCTGATATGACAAAGGCGCGCTTGCTCTAGGCCTGAGCATGACCAGAGCAAGTGTGTCACGTCCACGGCAGTTATGGGAGCGTCATAAAGGGGGCACGTGGTTCCATATGTTGCACGGTACTGTTGTGATTAGTGGGCAGTAACTGCCAGCGTAAGATCAACCCCCACTCGAAGTCTCCGAAGCTCTACCTCCTCTAAGTGGGTAAACCCACCAGGGAGATCAGAACCATATGATGGTAGAGTGCTCATGTGTTGTGTTGGAGACATTCCTTTTGCCGCAGTACACAGTTTTGTTTTTAAGCACAGCTCGTGGGCAAGGTCCTAGCATATTTCCAACTGTGTCATTCGTTCTGTGGCTGAGTGTAAAAGTACATTTTTTTCGCCACTTCAGCTCCACTTGCTTATCGCGTGTACGTGCTGTTAGAAATAGCCTTTCACGATTTACCCCCTGAATCTTTTTTGTAAAGCCTATTTAGATTCACCGGTGATTTCCTTAAAATAACACAATCACAGTCCAGAAATTGTTCTTACACTTCCTTATGAATGTCTTCGAACAAATTGTTGACAAAAACTAAGGTATGAATGAATGAATAAACTTTATTTGAAGTTGGGCATTTTCCTCCGGGCGAGGTGGGGAAGAGGGGATTAACCCCCGTTTTTTCCAACCCTCTGTCGATTATGATGACGGTACCTCGTGTGACCGCTCGAAGTCATTAGACCCGTGCGGCATCTTCGTCTTGCCGGACAACCCAAAGCTGGTCAGCCAACTCGTCGCTGGTGAGTGCCACGTCCCAGCGGCAGCGAAGCTGACGTAGCCTATCCGCAGCAGTGACTGCAGCCAAGCCATGGCAGTGGCTGGCCCCTGCCCTCGCGCGGTGGTAGCAGCAGCAATTGGCCTCGGAGTTTGTCCCTACTTAACATGCGTCGCAAAGAGAGCGATGGCAGTGACATTAACTTTTACGGCACACTCCCAAAGCATGTGCGCCAGTGTGGCCCTTTCCGCACACGCTTTAGATGCGTCTGTCAGGTATAGGTTTGGATAACACAGGCGTAGAATCGCCGGGGTGGGGTACGTATTTGTCTATAATAATCTCAGAGTTATGGCCTGTGTTTTGTTCAATTTGATGTCTGGTGCTGGGTATTTACGTTTGTTTAGTCTGTAATGTTGTGTAATGTTGAATGTGGTCAGGCGATCACCGCACGACCATTCCGGATGTTGCTGTTGAGTTAGTAATGTCATCGCTTCGCTCTCGGAGGTGAAGGCGGCCACCGAATCGGCCGCGGCTCGTTGAGTGAGATCTCGAACTGGGAAGTAGGCCGCCTGGTTGCCTCTGAGCTGGAAGCTGGTGTCATCCAGGGTCTACAAAAGGAAGACAGTCCCATTTTCAGTTTTGAGATATGAGGACGATGACGCTGAGGCCATCGCTCCTTGAAGCTCATTGCTGTCCTTCTTGCCATAACTTGAAGTATCCGGGCCACCAGACACGAGATGCGACTGCGCGCGAAGCCACAGACTGCAGCCTCCGGTGCCCCGACCAGTGCAAGGAAATCGCTGCCTCTTCGGTTGTCTCTGTGTGTTCCGTATGCACCGTGGTGCTCATGATGCATTTGCCGGTGCAATTCACAACAGAGGAATTTTTTATTTACTTCACATTTCAAAGCTCAGCATAATTAAAATTAGCTTTACATCAGAAGCAACCTGTAGCATTTTGAGAAGTACGTGATTGGTTAACAAATTGGACGAGTGGGTAGGTGTTCTTTTTAACATGAAGTATGAATGGACAAGAATGGAGCGAGAAAACAGGATGAGCATTTTAGAAAACTTATCTGCATTGAAGGGCTTTGAAGTGACGAAGAGTGTGCAATCCTTTTCTGTCGAGAAATGCAAATAACTTTTGAAAAACAAATCACAAGGGGGTCAGGACCCCCTAGTTTTCCTATTATTTACACCATTGGTTGAGACATTCTGTTCTTGTACATTTAATTGTAAAATTTCTTGAATGAAGTCATACTCGTCTTTGTAGCGCTACGTCTAAAAAGGAGTTTCAGAAATCAAGCATAAAAAAATCTTTCTTTTGGTCACCCTACATTTGAGTTAATGAGCTGATTCAGGAGGTTCTTCACTTACATCTGCAATTAGAGGAACGCATGCTTGCATGTTAAAATGCCCATTTCTGCAACATGTCTTGAGCAAGCAACTAGACAACATGACCTCCACTCAGGCATCCAATACGTACTTACATTTATTTTCTTCCCTTGAGGCAAGGAGGGAAGTGTCCTCGATACATGCAAAGGAACAGACTTCAAAGGGAAATGTCTAAGAGCCGCGAATGCACACTTGGTGCACAATACCTATTTGTCAGATATACATATTTCCTGTTTGGCAGAGATGTGCTAAAGGCAAGCATCTTTTCTATATACATGTCGGGAAATCTTTGCGTGATGCTTTGCAATTAATGGGAGAAAATTGCATTCCACGATTGGTTCTGTCAAGGCATGCCATCCTAGATGGCTATAAATTTGTAGCATGCCCGTAAATTTTATCAAAGCAAATGCTCATGGGGAATAGAGGATTTGGGCCATGTAAGAGGAGCTGCTGCGGTATGCAACAGATGCTGTAGAGCCCCTAGTGGAATGTGGCCCGTTTCTGAAACTTCACACTGTTTTCACCATTGTTTTCCAGTCACCTGCTAATACGGTGAATGTAGTAGTTGAAGATTTAATCCATATTTTGTTGGGCGTTTTCGAGCGCTCTGGAGCGCCCTGAAAAGTGGCCGCGCTTTCGTGTAGTAGAATTTGAGTGCTCAGACAACGGTCGATTGGTTCTTTTGGATCGTCGCACTCCGACTCGGAATGCTCCAGACTGCTCTGACTTTGAAGTGAGATCTGGTGCGATCTGACCAAGAGGACAATTCACGTGACTCAAACCGACAGCAATGTGGTTGCCAGCAGGTGACAGCGCAAGCGTGCATTTTGAGCATTTCTGAAGGAGACATCACCGGGTGCATAATATTTTGAGCACTTGTGTTGTTCATAGTGTTTTTGAGTGTGTATGTGGCGACTTGACATCTACGAAGTTATAAATGCGCCACGTCGAAAAGGAGGTGGCTCGTGATGGTGGAAGATACATTTATGGCATTGTTACAGCAGCTCGCAGACAAATACTTTGAAGCTAGCAGCTCAGACGATTGCCAGATTTAAGTGCTGAGCTCAGAAGGCTGCCACTGCGTCCAGACGTGCCGGAGATGGCCACTTAACTGAATGACGCCGTTTGTCGATGCAGCACAGGAATCTTTATCCGGGGGCTTTCGACACTGGCTGCTCGGTGGGCTACTGGCACACTGCTCGCCAATGCATTCGGTTGGTATGCTGCCTCTTGCACACTGTTTGCAAGGTGCTTCGGCATATGGGGACTCCGAGCCAGACGACCAGAGCGGCCAACCGAACATGGTTGCCAATGGGTTTTTTAAACTCTAAAAATTTGCACTTGCTGGATATTTCGCGCTTCACAAATGCACGGTCATACTAGTGCATTTTCGTGACAAATTTTTGTGACGAATTTGTTCCAAACTTCAATATTCCGGACCAAATCGTTTGTTTTGAGCTATGCTGCTCGATTTTGAAATTATGCATGTTGGATTTTTTGTTGGCTTCGTTGAGTTTGGTTTGCAGCTGCTAGTTGTGTGACCTCCAAGTTCGGAAACACACGTAATTTTCTAGTTTTGGAGGCCATGTCGGATCTTTCTTGGCTAGCAAAATGGCAAAACTTTTCTTTTTCAGTCAGCCTTATCCTCATTAATACGCCAGTAGGTTGTTTTTATTTTCTGGACATTTGTTTTTCTGGTCTGCATTGTGCATGTGGTCGTGTTAGTGGTGTTCCAAGTATGTATGAGCCGCCTCACGTCGCATTCTCGCTGCTGTTCGTGATTGCTCATTAGCACTTCGTGGTCATGGTGCTCGGCAACTGCCCTGGAGCACGCGGGTTTGATCATGGCCGCGACAGTAGCTTTTGATGATGTCGAAACGCTGGAGGCTCACGTACTGTGTGCTGTCGGTGCAGGTAAAAGAAGCCCAGACGGTTTTAAATCCCATCAAACAGGTGAGACGTTGCATGCATCTTTTTGTGACCGGAATCAAGTTTTGTTTGCTTGGTTCCATGGAGCCACCAACTTTGCCGCCCGCAGCTGTCGGCGGCAGTTATTGCCAACGCACTTGCCAACGATGTTACTGTAGCCCAAATAGAACCAAATTTGTTCGTCCCCAAAAAAACAGCATGAAGCACAGCATTATTGGGGACATTTTTTAGGCTTTTGTAATCCAAATAAACTTCATTTTCATCGCCTGACCATCCTTTCGGACTGTTTCGCGGTCCCTGCCA